AAGAAGCAGAGACCTAATACACCAAATAGATTGTAGACTGAACATATCACTGGTTCAAAAAATATAAGTTCTGTTCAATTCTAGTCTGAAACAACCTATGTTACATTTATTTATGTTCTTCTTGAGGGCAAAGCTACAGTAAAGCATCGCCATTAAGACAAGCAGATACACACTCCACCTTAAGTAAAATTACTAAAAGAATATAGGAGATAGTCGACTTGCATGACTGTTTCAAGAGGATGCAAAGTCAATGGTGAGTTGTTTCTTTAATCAATATACATTTGCTTTTTGTGAACTGCCTTAGTATATATAGGTCTCGTGGTCAGATTAATCAAATCAGGATTGTGTTTAGCAAATGGGACAGCAAAATCGTACAGAGACTAAAGACCTGGCTTTTACCATTATGTTATTTATTTAGTTTTATTGAACACGAAACAGTGCAACGGCAATATATCAAATTGGTCAAGGTTTACCGCACAGCCTTAGTCTACCTTTTCACAACCTCGTAAAGCTGTGAAAATTCGCTTCTAAACTCTGCGAGTAAGTAGAATGTAAAGAAGGTGTGATAAAGTAAGGAATGTACTGGGAGTTTAAAATGAACTGAATGTTTTTGACTATTTAAAGTGAAGTTCAGTTTTTTTTTTTAAAGTGTGAAGTTGGATAGATGTATTTTACTGCAAGTGTCCAATATGACCCGCCCCCACAGGTTCCTGATTGGGCAGGAACTAGCTGAGGGCCCTCACCATTGGTCTAACTATTCTCCTCCAGCAAATCTAACTGGTGAGGGACTGTTTAAAATATGTTTACATGAAAATACTTAATCTAGATGATAACTACAGGGTCATATGGTAAAAAAAAAAAAAAATTACATTTTGAAAACACAATTTAAGTAGCAGAAATCATCTTTAAAGACCATCAAAATCAGGCATGGGATTTGAATTAAACTCTTTCTAACTGTTCTTGTCCTGTTTGCATTCAAATTATATTTCAAGAGTTATATATAAGGCAAAAATAAATAAAAAACACACTAAATTAAAGACATCCTGCCTCAAAAAGCTCAGCACCTGTGAGTCACAAAGCAAGCCGGAAACATTTAGTTCACACCAGCCCTGTCTCTGGAGTTGCATTACCTTGGCACTGCTTTCTACCAGCTAATAGTTCATTGCTTTCACCAGGTGTAAAATGATTCCCTGATCACAGAAGCAGGAGGAGAATGGGCCGACACACGAGTCCCAATACCCAGCACTGCGTCGCTGCAGCAACATCCAGAGTGTACAAGGGGGGACGGAACACGCGCTGAGGAGAAACGAGGCTCTAAAGTACAAATGTGGCTCAGGGAAAGGGAGATAATTGCTGAATTAAGAAGGGAAACAAAAGAGTTATCGCATGTGCATGGGATTGTGAATACGGCGAGGAGACACAGGAGGGAATTAACAGATCGGCACGATTGGAGGATGTAGGAAAGGAGGGGGTTTAAGAGAGTTGGGGGAAAAAATGGTTGTGGATGTGAAGGGGGGTTTGGGGATTTTGTACAGTAGAGACTAGTTTGCATATAAGCTTAAAACAAAGAAAAACACCTCTGCAAATACTATATACTACAAGATTGAAGCTTATGAATGACCCTTTCAGCCCGAGTCTGAATCTGAGTCTCTAAAATCATTGGTATCTTTAGGTACAATCGCTCTGTGCAGTTCATCAAGAAGATATAAAAACCAAATGTTCAAATCTCACATTGTTAAGTCATGTCAAAACCTGTATATTTGCTATTCGATTGCATGAAATCAAAGTCGGACGTGTAAACATTACCTTACCACAAAAAGAATCTCCTCTGCATAACCACCAAAACATGACTTTTTAGTTCTACTTAAGCACAACAAGAAATATCATCAAAGTGACAGGATTCTCATGACTCATCCAGATATGGCAGTGTCTGTATATGTAAACTTCATTCAAATATTTTGTCCCAAAGCCCAAAAACAGCATAATTATAGCCGTATGATACCAAATGCCATCTCATTAGTGCAGATTTGACACATCTGAAGATTGGGAGATGAAAGAAGACAAACTGCACTGGGCAGCGGAATAAATCTAATGCGTGCACTAGCTGTGGAGGCTCATGTTTGCTCACGTTTGTATGTGTTTGTGACAGCAGCATACGTGAAAGTACAGATTTATTAGAACAAAACAAAGTGAGTCTGCTTTGATAACCTCTCAGATTACGACTAAAGGTGCGCTGTATCGTGGTACGTGTCAATCTCTATGGAAACAACATGCATGTGTGAGCATTTTTCTGCATTCACATCCTCGGAACTCAGTAATATGTGTTTCTGTTAACAAGTGAGGAGAAAAATATGTATTCTACAGTTCAGATCTCTCATAAAACATGGCCACGTTTGAGAGTTAGAGTGAGAGAAAAGAGATTCACCTCATACAAAGTCATTTAAGAAGCCAAAGAGCTCCAGAGGTCCATATGAATGCAGAATCTAAAACACTTTTAAATGTGTAGAAGGACACTAGTTTTGGAAATGTCTGAGTGAAAAAGACACACTCAAAACTAAACTGAGGATTTGTAATTAATTCATTCATTTGTATAATAATTCCAGGGGTAATAATAAACTGGGGTACCTAACTCCCCCCCACTTAAATGCCATATGCCCCAACAAAAATAGACTCGTCAAAGTAACATTTGGTGAATCAGACCAAAACACATCTTTGCTCTTATTTGAAAACGTATCTTTTGCATACTTAAGTGTCCATAAAGTGCTCGATCATTATTATTAATATTTCATTATAAATACTCAATGTGAGCCTTGTGCAACACATTTTGATGCTTAGGGATGAGAGCTGATTGACTGACGTCCCTCACGCACACCACAGTAGGCTTGTGTTTGGTCAGAAGTGAAAATTATTGAAAGAAAATAACGTCTAGAATCTCTGTTAAACCTGCCAGCCGTCCTTCTAATGTTTATTGTTATGGACACTATATTTTGACTGAAAGCTGAAAATACGCATGGCTTGTATTTAAGCCTGACAAGTCCAGGGGTGCGGTGAGAATGCCCCAGGCTCCTCCAAAGGGTGCATTTCTCAGCCTCCTACGCCCGCCGCTGCTTAAGCCTCTGTGCATCACAAGACTCGTGCGATGTGTAGAGGACGTGAGTGAGAGTGGTCCTCTCTTTTTAACTCTTCTGTCTGAAAAAGATGATCTAAAGACAAAGACAGAGGCCAAAAGTGGGAAAACTACCCAACTAACAAACTAGTTACAGGTAGATTGATTTTAATACATAGTTCTATTTGTCCAGCTAAAATTAGGTACCCCAGTTTTATATGTAAGAGGTTCTGAATAGAAATCTATAGTTAATTAAATGTCACTGAATGTGTTCAAGACCTGCTTACAATTATGAGCACAATAAGTTAACAGTGGGACAGTTTTAAACAAATGAATAGTTGTTTATGAAAGTCGTTGAAATGATAATTATCATTATAATTCCATTATGTGTGCACAACATTTAACTAGAGGGAAGTATATTTTTTCTACTGAAGACACATTACCTTTGTGCATTGTGTGGATTATATTGCACAGTATTTCCGCTGAAACCCATTATGATGCGTATAGAGGGACAATCACAGTAGTTGTAGAATTGATTCCCGAAAAATGATTCTCAGTTCGAGGTTAGAATGAGGAGTAACCCAGTTTCTGTTGTGGCTCAAAATGCCCGGGGTACACTTGTCATAGTAAAATTCATGCAGTAAAAGGATGATTGTTTTGTCATTCAAGCCGCTCCCCCTTGATCACAAGTTTGGCAACGCGCACGAATGGCTGTCAGGTGTGTGGTTCCCTAAGCAGCATACGTTGGTAAAAACAAGCTTGATCTGTTGTTTGGAGCAGATTGTGCAGCAGTCTCCGAGTCGCCGTGTCATTGAGAGTGTATTCCGGGAGGGCAAACAGTACGTGCACTGTGTGCGTGTGGGGGCGTAAGCACATCCAAACTGTCACCGTGACAAAACGTGGGAGTTCAGATCGACGGGTGAGTGCCATTTGGTGCAAATAGACCGATGTGCGCTTTCAAATAAATGCACCTTTTAAGAGGGGAAAGAGTGGAGACGGCTGTACACAAAGAAGTTTGAATATTTGCCTGAATATTCTATTAAAAGGTACAGGGATAACTTTTAATGTGTAGAGATGACTACTGGATTATCTCCAAGGAGCTTTCCTGAGCAAGTCCTACAGTAAGGAAAGAGAAAAGGTGTGTTTTACAGACCCAGTTACAAGCTTATCATTCTTTGGTGAGAGGAAACCCAGCTCACAGTAAGAACTCATAATAATAATAATTATGCACAAATGGACCGTTTGCCGTACTGTGGAAGAGTCTGTGCAAAGCTATACATCTCCTTAGAGACAAGCAAGTTTCCGATCTCAAACCATCCATACATCTTAAACACTGCCCCTTTAAATGGTTTAGATTATGTTTTTTTTTTTTTTTTTCAATTGCATGTCATGGGAAAGTACATTTCCAGCATTGTATATGAACCTATAAATCAAGATATTGTCGATTGATAAGTATAAACATGTGCAATATTTGTTGGTGATGACGAATCCAGAAATCTACTAATTCGTTCGGTTTTTTCTGTTAGTCTTCCATATTCAAAAGAAAATGGTGTATCTTTGAATTGGAAAAGTCCTCAAAATGTTTCCATTGAGTTAGAGTAAGGGACAAATCCTAATGCATGTGATGGTAAAACAACTCACTCACAACTCAAGCAACATAAGCAACAAAACTATTCCCAATTTCAGGCTTTGCAAGTTTTTTGAAATATAAACTTTTTTTTTTAAGTGCTCAAACTCTTCTTTCTCCACCTACATGTGTGATTGTAAACGCAGGAGGCTGACAGGCGCAGGGGGAACTCGACAGCATTAGAACAAAATGAGCAGCAGTTTTCTAACGCGCCATAAATGTGTCACTTGGGAGTCGGTGGCGGTGGGGCAAAACTATGGCGGGGCCTCAACTGTCCCTCTGCGTGAGTGCTTGCAGTTCGGCAGTGTGCAGCGAATGTTGGAGGAAAACATTTTTGCGGCTGTAGCTGTGCAGAGACAGCGGGCCGCGAGGAGGCTGTCCCAAACGCCCGGAAAACGAAGACGAAGCGGAGGAGGCCGAGGGGGGAGGCGGCGAGCTCGGGTCAGATGATGAAACGCTTCCTCTGCTCAAGCTGCGCGAACTGGAAGAAGCGCTAGATCCGGCTGCCCTGGGGATATGGCTGAGGAGGCTGGGATCTCCTTTCCTTAGTCCCACAGAGACGGACGTGCTTTGGGTTAAAGACTCCGACGATGAGGAGACCGCCTCGAGCTGTCGGCCGTGATTCAAACCCTGGTGTGAAGACTGCGATGGAGGGAAAGTTGACGCTAGGATCAGAGGGCGTGAGCTATAATTGCGGACCGGAGAAGGGGCCTGGTAGTGCCGCTCCTCTCTGGCAGTGTTGACGCGGCCGTGTGGAGGGTGGTGAGGTGCGTGCTGGTTAATGTGGTCCCCTGCGTGTCCCGCTGCTGTAGCCCGCACCGCTCTTCGCTCCCTTGGCCCCAGGCTGTTGCTGCTGCTGTAGCTGCTGCCTGCTCCTGACCACCGGCCTGGATGATTGGTCTGAAAAGAAGAAAAGAACATGAATGAAGTAGGTTTCTCGCCTGTTGGTGTTTAATTTATACCTGCTGTGTTTCTGGGCGCCTCAAGAGAGAAATAGCGTCTTTTGGGAGTAAAAGGAAATCAGCAAAGACGGGCAATGGAAAGAGACAGGCGGCGTTTGGGTGAGGGAAGTGGGAGCCAGCATTGGTTGTTAATTGTGTGACATTTGGAGAACGATCTCTCCCGGCTCCTGCAGCTTGTTTTAATTGTTTCTACACCAAGCGGAACCCAGCGATTTCTCACAAATACAGCTCTGCACATGCCACACAACAAAGTTAAATGGGTAAAGTGGGAATCCCTGTACATTTACTGAGATGGAGCGGATCGAATTGACAAACTCATCTCTTGGATAATCCTGCTCAGAAAGATAGCTGTGCAATTTCAAATGAGGGGAAAACTATTGTCTGTGAATTTCTGACAAGCTTAATTAAACGGGCTTAAATGTGATTTAAAACACAAAATCAGAATCATTATTATTCTACAACCATACTTTTTGCCACCAGTCAGCCTTGCAACAAACTCAACTTGATCAAATGTGATACCCTCCAAATAAAGTCTTGACATTACCCTGAATATACAGTATATTTCACAACCTCTACCAGTGCGTACGTACAAAGGCTGAATCTGACACCGAAGGGATTTCTCCTACAGAACAGACAGAATGAGGAGGATGGCAGGAACAGAAGCCACCTGTTTCCTTTCACACTCCACTACACTGCCTCATGCAACACATTCCCCACTGTCCCTGCACGCCACACTGCTCTACTCAAGTACAAAACTACAGCCTGAGTGGCCGCACTCTTTGAAGTGCACCATCAGCCACGACATTGCACTCAGAATTAATAAGAGTATGGACTGGAACTGGTTTAGTCAACAGTTATTATATCAATATTTCATAATTGTATGGGATCAGATCACAGCTCAACTTCCTCCATGAAATGTTTCAAATGATAGGTCAAATTCAGAGGACAAAAAGTATAAATCAACTCAGGTGTTTAAAGTATGGCAGTAAGAAACGATTATTTTGAGAAATATTTAGCTGGTCGATTACGGGAATATGGGATTTTATATACTTTTGACCAAAAAAAAAGTTATGCTCCAATGGAACATCTCCAAAATTCCTTTTACTTTGTTGAAAATGTGATTAAAAAGATTAAAAATTCTTTGATTCAGACATTTTCATTTGATTCTGCAGTCATTATGTGCTGAGTGAGTGGATAGTACTCTCGAGCTTCTCAGAAATAAAGCCCTGGGTTCGAATCCCGGTCAAAACAGGGCCTTTCTGAGTGGAGTTTGCATGTTCTCCCTGTACCTGCGTACTAAAACCACTAAAAACATGCACACTCGGTAAAAAACATGCACACTCGATAAAATCCTCCATCTCTGCTAGTCCAGACCAAGCCAGGCATCAACATCTGGAGATGGATTCACGGGCGCTGTTACTACGGCGACCACTGCTCCTGATGTAAGCCTTAGTGGCATCAGGATGGGTCAAATGCAGAAGCTGAATTGCCTTACAGGAATAAATAAAGTGCACCTCTATAAAACCTCTTCTCAAATTGTGTATGTCTTCATAAAGTTATAACCCTATTCTGAAGAACTACCATTAAAAACAAACATTTTCAAGTGAAGGTAAAAACATAATAATCTGAATTAGATGGTGACTGAAAGTGTGCATGTTATTTTGAATGGAAAATAACCACTTTATGGACATTTGTAATTTGTATGGGGAATTTGGCTTCATGTTAGGCAGGACTGAGTTCCATTGAGCGCTTTAGGGTAGATTCACTCGCAAACAAAAGACTTAAAAATTATGACACCAGAAAGAGAATAATGTTTAGAAATGATATGAATAAATGTTTGGAAGATGCCTTATTATTATCATTATTTTTGTTCTGTGGTTGGTTGAAGGTTGTTACTAATACATCTACTCAAGAATGCTTCCAGAACAATGCAGATCAGATCTCAGCTGCTGCTTTGAATTTATGTGATTATGCTTAGTCCATGCGCGTTTGTGTTGAAAATTGATATTAAAAGTAATGTTATTATACTGTTAAAGCTGTCAGGAGTCATTTGTGGAATCCAACAGAATGCAATTAGTCAAAACTATATTGCTTGAACAAGAAAACGCTAATTTCATAAACTGGAGTGTTTTTATGAGGCAACCCCATCAAGTAGAGTTAATATGAGAAGAGGGAGAAGATGGAGGATTGCAAACCAGTCTGTGTCTAATTAGCCTTCATTAATGTAGCATAGTAAGCAAGAGCACTATATTAAAGCAAAAACGCAGAGTAAACAAGGACCAAAAGCTCATACAAATGGCATTACATTAGTCAATACCTTAGTTTTATTTTACATATATAACATGCATTTATTCACTCAATTCTTTCCTGTAATTTTCATTTGTTTTCTACACATTTCTGCAATTAACCCCAAACACTTCTCCAGGTGGTAAAGTCTAGACAAGAACTGAAATGAATACACTTTCCACACTACCTGATTAACCTGTGTTTGTTGAAAGCTGTTCACAGTGACTATGTTCATGTCTGTGGTGTGAGAACATACAGTAGGAACAAAAAGCAGGACTTTATGACGTTAATAATGCTCTTAAAGAGGCAGTCAGTGATTTTTTTCCAGATGCATTTTTTTTAAATATTGTGGGAAAACGCCCCTAAACCCTAAAAGTAGTCAAGGTATCATGCGTTTTCAAATAGTATTGGAATTGATGTCTATAGTCTCCAAAACTTGAAAAAGATTTTGGACCGATAAAGATAAACCCCCTTCATCCTCTTCCTGTTTCTCGCGAGTGCGCTCACCTGAGTTGTTGGATTATTTTCTAAAACCTTAAATTGCTGAAAAGAAAATGCCAATTTTACGTTTGCCACCCACTCTCCCTGTTGTGACAAAGAAAAGAAAATGCTGGATGTTTGGTTTGGTGAAGAGGCGAGGGGAGGGGGGAGTGGTTTCGAGTTGGTGCTACGGCTAAGCTAACGAAATCGCTTACTGCATCTTTAAGTCTAAACAATTCAACAGGAGCATGTTCTACACAGCAGCTATTCTAAAGACTTATTTTCAGTATGATACAACAACATCAAATAGTTTACACTGTTGGCTTTATGCTCCGCTTAAATGTTGTGGAGAGCAGCTTGGAAGAAATACAATAGATATAAGGCTTAAGGAGGGATTTTGACCTTTCATTTTTCATGAAACTCATTTTCCTTTTTGCAATTTCCCGAAATGTCATATAAACAAAGTAATAATACCTGGTTTTAAAGAATGTTCAAAATGTTCAGACGGAAATAAGTGGAAAGCTCTCACAGAATTGTCCTCAACTCAGGTCGCTCTGAGGGGGTCTGGGACACTAGGGACGAACGTCATAGAGGTGAGAATTCCGGAAAATAACAAACCTTGTCACAACAGACGAGTAAAGGATTTAATATTTACTTTTAAAAGATAATTGTGGTATAAAAATGCACGGTAAATATATTAAACAATAAGCTTTATCTGCCATTCACTAGTCACTTTACCTGCTGATATTTTTACTATTGTTTATTCTGCACATATTCTCCGCTGCTGATGTACAATATACCTATCTGTTAATACTTCTGAACCAACCATTAAAATAATAAGATGGTAAAATAAAATAAAAAAGAATAAACTCTGGAGCTATAATGCGATTATAGCCCCAGAGTTTATTCTATTTTATTTTATTTTATTTTACCATCTATTGTCTATTATCTGAAATATCATAATCTGATGTGGGCAATCTAAGTGCTCTTATTTCCTTCTTTCTCTGATGTAATGTGCGCAACGATGAGAGTGAAATTTCCCCACTGTGGGATGAATAAAGGAATATCTTATTTTATTTCATAAAGAAGAGATCTGGAGGCAACTATGGTAGATTTTTACTAAAACTGAAAAGATAAAGTCAGATTACAGTAAGTGAAATCCCGCTGTTGCCACATGCCAGTATTTTCTTTATTTTGATAGTACTGAATCTCAGGTATAGTTCTCATCAAATTTCTTCCTCTAGTTTTATAATTGACCATCCTAATGAACATATTCATCAAGTCCCACATAAACCCAATCATTAGACATTGGTTTCAGTATATTTATTAGAGTTGTTAAGCATCAAGTTGTTTCGGATCAAGCCAAAAACATATAATCTGTCAAAAAGCACATGCGTTTGCACATTCCCTAAACAGCGAGAACGGAGTAATATCATATTTATTTGAAGATTTCTATTTGCAATCTGTTCTTTTCAAACATGAACAGAAGAGCCAAAAGTTCACAGCCTCGGTGCCAGCATGTTATCTGCACAGCTCACTCTGGGAGGGTATGTGTGTGTTCTAATGGGCCCTAATGACTCAATAAACACCATAAGACTTCAAGTAGATGTTGGATAATTAAGAACTGTGTGAAAACATATATCCGCCATCCCGTGTGTAATTTTTTCCGTTCCTTTTGACGCTAAGGGTGGAGTGAGAAGCCGAGAGGGAATTGCCATTTTAGTGATTTGTGTGGGATTTCTTAATTAGGTCTAAATGGACGAACTTGCAGACAGCTTTGCATTACACCTTCAGCAGATTGCAAAAACAACAGAAGGTGTGGCAACAAACAACTAGGAAATACTATTTGGCAAGCAATGCAACTTTGGAAGAGATAATGGGACAGGAGGTACAAAGAGACATCTGAGGAGGCATATGTTACGTATCAGAGGGGTGGTCCAAAAAGAACAAATAGTTGAAAAATGTATGCAAATGCAATGAATCAAATGAAAAGGAAAGTAGGGCAAATGTGTCGCAGCGAACAACAAGAGGACGCTGGAAACGGGTCAAGAACAGTGCTAACATTAAACAGCACAGCAAATAATTAGAAATGAAAGGATCAAAACAAAGAGGAGAGAGAGGGAGGAGCAGAGGGAAACGTCCTCGTTTACAAAGTCACGTGTCCTCAAGTACAGCGATGGGTGGATGAGGGAA